ATTACTGACTTGCGAAGTTGCATTTTAAAAAGTCTCAAATGTGTACAACATTCACCGTTTACTTGAAATTGTTCTTTTTATAAAGTTATAAGATTCTTGAATTTTTTTAGAAAAAAATCTCCCGGCTGAAGGGAAGCGAAAGCTGTAACTCACATTAACTGGTATATGACCATTTAAGTTTCTAATATGTTTAGTTTTTTTATTACGGTAAACCTCTTCTAGATGCAAAGTGTACTACTTCTTTCTCGAAACGTCGTACAAGTCAGATACAAAACAAAGGTACAAAAAACAGGCCGGAAACAACCTGCCGTATAGTTTTTCTGCACTTGTAGTCAGGTCAAGGTCCTCAGCTATTCGGACCTTGACCGGACTACTCGTGCAGAAAAACTGTCCGGAAACGGTTGTTACCAGCCTGTTTCTTTGTTACCTTTGTATTGTATCTAATACTTGTGGCTGACGCCACTCGGATATGAGAAGACTTACATCTGATATTTATTTTACTTTCAATATATGTTCAGTTTCAACATTTTGTTTTGTACTTTATTGTAAATAACAAACACAAACCTTTCCAATATTGCCACATGTGTATTTAATAATGAAATAAATTGTACAAATTGTTATAATATATGATTTGTGATTGATCTCCAAATGGTTCTTTCATAAATGTACCATTTGTTATTGTACAACAATTGACTGTTTATTAATGTTTGTATATGTTTCGTATTTTGAAGTATAGCACACAGTTAATAATCTACACAGGTTATTACCATATACTTTATCGAATCAGTGGTGAATATTATTTTAGCTTTTGTTGGTTTTCCCTTGATACAATAAAAAGATGGTATTCCCACAACTGCTTTAAAGAAAAGTGCTACTTAATATTAAAACGTACTTACAATGTAGGTCGAATATTTTACTTCTGTGTATACGTGATTATAGTAATGGGATCTTATCGTTATGAATAAAGCTTTTGTTTTAATTTAACAGAAAGAGTGATCGTTGGGATTAAGAAGTGCACACCGATGAGATGTCATAAGGAATACCTATAATTATTTGGCTGATATCATTATTGAGATGGAAATTGAAGGGTATCCGTAGAAGATAAATGTTAAGGGAACGACCATTTAACTTCAAGGGGGTGGGTTTATGTTTTTTTTTCTAATTTTGATCCCCAATTTGATGAAAAAAAATATTCTGGTCAAGCAGATGACAAAAAAAATATGCTGAATCCAGATTTACCCCATATAACTTATAGTGTTAAATATTGAAAAAAATAATTTGATTAATAGCGTTGAAAAACTAAATAAAATTAATCGGGCTGTGCGCGAAAAAAAAATTCTGACTCGGTCAAAAAACATACCCCCCTTTTCCCTTGAAGTTAAACGGTTGCTCCCTAATTTAATTCCTAGGTTTAGTTTTGTTAGTTTGTCTTTCAGAATTCCTGTCTTATTGGTGTTACATGTAACTCAAATTCTCTTTTTATTTACATGTATATTTCAGAAGCACGTATACTTTTCTGTTTATATACTATAGAATATACTACAGTCTTTAATTGGTTAAAATATCGCCGCGATATAGCCTTGTTGTGCTAATGCGGCGTAAAGCAACCAACAATCAATCAATTAATTGGTTAAGCACTTTTATCAACAGAAAATTTACAGAGTAAAAGATAAAACAAAAACAAAAAACACTCAATTTATCAGAATTTTACTTTTTATTTTTGATCAAATTTTATTTCACTGACATAACTTAATTTAATTAGCGATATAAGCTAACACGTTAACAAATTGCTCGTTTATATATTTTGGTTTGGCTTAAAATCATTATTGTCAATAGTTATGATCATAAAGCTTTTGCTTTTCAGTTCTTTAAGGAAAACTGTCGTTAAGTCCGAGACGGGATTTGTAAGTTTAATCTATTCTTAATTGCACTGTCATTCTGTTTATTTTTTTTTTCACTGCACAAGACTTTCATGTCTGCCTGTACAGCTTATTACATTGATGTTTTAAATAAACTTTTTACCTTGCCATCATTTACTGCCAAGATTTCAATACGGTATTGTTGTATTATACTTATGCTTGTGTATTTATTTGCCGTTATTGAATAGTTCAGTGTACGTACGTATTGTTCAAATTTTTATTTAATGCCCATCGTCTTTCTATTGTTTCAGATAAACGGAGAAAAGAATTAGATCTTTGAATGAATAACGTTTTCACATGGCATGTCCGTGTACCTGAATTTACTGTTGTACGTCTCAATATCTCGGTCATTTTGGGGGGATTTTTTGTTGATAGCTGGCCTCTGTTAAATTCATTCACAACATTTCACGACTCTTGGTGATTTAAAACTTGACATCTTGTATAGACACAATGTCGAAATATAGATATCGTGTATCGAACTTAATATGATTTTTATTTCTTTGTTGAGTTGCTGTCTCATTGAAGTACCTCTAATCCCCTTTCAATCATATTTGAAAGAATTTGCAGTATTTCATAAAAACAATAGATGTATATAAAATTGAGAACATGTTAAAGAGACAACAACCCAACCAAAGAGCAGAAAACAGCCCAAGGCCACCAATGGGTCTTCAATACAGCGAGATATGTTCATTATTGATGCTTTTAAAAATAGCCGTCGAGATTGCTGATTTTTAGCATAGAACTTCTATCAAGACTTCGTTGTGTTCAAAGCGTTCTGCTATTAGTCTTTTGTTTGAATCCACCCCTTCCCCATTTAGTATACAATTCTGTGCCTGATATAATATTTAGCAGCTACACATGTAGTATAACATAGAAAGATTTTGTATGATTGCAAATGAAGACCCATTTTACTGAAATTTCTCAAAATTCAACTCCTGGTTAAAAAAATAGAATTCCCACAACTGCATTTCAGACAAATGCTAATTCATACAAAACTATACCTACAATGTAAGTCAGATCTTTTCGAAGGGCAAGTATTGTGTAGGGGACAGATACAGAAAAAGACGGATCGTTGGAACACTAACCTTAACCCTTCAATGACAAGTCAGGTGAAATACTTGGACTCATATCAAGTTTACAAATGTGCAATGCTTGATCATTTTCTGACAGTTACTGGAAGTCGTCAAATGACAATTTAAGGCATGTGGAAACATTGTGCCAACATTTCACCATGTAGACTGCATATCGCGGTCTAAATATATTATGGTTTCTGTCGTTGTATGGAGTCTATAGACACTTATATTCAACATCTCCGTGTTCTGTCTATTGTTCTTCGATTTACGATAGCCACTTTAAGGGCATACGATGCAGTTTTGATCCCTCGGTGAAATTTTTACGAAAGTTTGCATACAAGCTATTTTCACCCAGTCAATTCAAATATGTAATAAAAAATATACCTTCGTGCGCTACTTTTAGAGATAAATGGGGTCCAAATTTTAGACATTCACTGTAAATTTCGGTTTCTTGGACATTTCTATCCTTCAGAAAGACATACCTAACTTTTTTGTTTCAAAAGATAAACGCAAGCGGATTTTTGTAAAAGCATTTGGAATATCTTCTCTACATACATCTAAGTGTGCTTTGATTTTGTGTGACAATTCTTTGGAAATAACTATTTTTTATCAAATTTTCATGATTATAGTAAATAAACGGCATTTTTTGTTTTATATTTATCTTATTTTAAAAAATTTAATCGGTGTTTTGCTCATAAAAATTGGCACAAATAATCGTCATACATAATCAGGCCAAATGTCATTTTTAAAAATAGGGGTCAATGTACTCGTTTTCAAGTTAAATCAGTCTGAATGGTAAAAATAAGTCGACAAATGCATCTTTTCCCGATAAGCACATTTTGACGTCGCGAAAAATTACATGTTACGTTAGCGACGTCATTACCTCCCTGTAACTGTATCGTATGCCCTTAATGTCTTATCCTTGTTTGAATAAAATTACTCAAGGTATTACTTTATATAACTGGACATCCGTATGTTTCATGACGGTATTTAATATATTTTCTGCAAACATAAAATTGAGAATGGAAATGGGGAATATGTCAAAGAGACAACAATCCGACCAAAGAGCAGAAAACAACCGAAGGCCACCAATGGGTCTTCAATGCAGCGAGAAAATCCCGCACCCGGAGGTGATCCTCAGATGGCCCCTAAATAAAATTGTGTGCTAGTTCAGTGAAAATGGACGTCACACTAAACCCCAAAACATATAAATGAACTAAAATTAAAAAACATACTAGACTAACAAAGGCCAGAGGCTCCTGACTTGGGACAGGCGCAAAAATGCGGCGAGGTTAAACATGTTTTGTGAGATCTCAACCCTCCCCCTCCCCCTATACCTTTAGTCAATGTAGAATAAAGAAACACATAGCAATACGCACAGTAAAACTCAGTTTAAAAGAAGTCCGAGTCCGATGTCAGAATAGGTAACAAAAGAAACTAAGAAAAATGACAATGATACATAAATTAACAAAGGACTACTAGCAGTTACTGACATGCCAGCTCCAGACCTCAATTTAACTGCTTGAAAGATTATGTCTTCATCATATGAAAATCAAGTACAATCCCTCCCGTTAGGGGTTAATTATCATACCATCATAAAATATATGAGAAGAATTTTTGATATATCTTTCAATTGTTTTGCAATAATGCAATCTTCAATCTTCGACTTTTGGTTTTGATTGCCTACTCTCCATTGTTCATTTTCACTCCTTTTTTCTAGAAAAGCTTAAATTACAATATTGTAGTCTATTTTTGCTTTTAAAACATTCTGCAATAATTCTTATATGATTTGCATATTAAGGAATACGTTGATATGATTGGTTGAGAGGACTTCCGGTAATTGTTCTTGACGTTGTTTATTTTTCGATAGACGACGTCGACCGAACTTCTTTTCGTAACCAATGTAAACAAGATGGCGGTGATATTGACACAATCCGGATCGACGTTAACAAAATTTATTTTCACTTCGCGTTAATCGTTTAATTAAATAATAAACACAAAACATTCGTTTAAATGATAATAAGAGTTTTTGTAGTTTATTTTTTTATCAGATTGCAAATTTCATGGAGTACATATTTTTTGCGTTAACCAACAAATATATTCATGTGCCAGGCCTATTCAATGACACAAATATACAATTTACGTGTGATAGAGGTTACGAGTGTGGAAAAATAAATTCCTTATCTCCAATTTAAAAGAATTATAAGGATTAAACGCCTTTTTAAAGGAATTTATTGGTGTATAAACTGGACCTATCCAAGTCACTCACAAACATATCATTAAAGTCCTTCGGACTTTTATTTGTTTGTGAGTGAATTAGTCGAGTTTATACACCAATAAATTCCTTTCAAAAGACGTTTAATCCTATAATATATAATATTTTGAAAAACACCAGGCACACATTTTGATATTCAAATAATCAAACAGGTGCAAACTAATGTTTCACCATTCATTTTTTAATGCAAATTTAATTTATACAAATATATTGCTATGATGCGATATTAGGTCTATGAATTTAATGTTGAATAAAAATTATAAATATACATACAAATCTACATCTGACCATATTGTCATTGTTATCAATATACAATCAGAAGTAAAATTACTGGTTCTCGTAGAAAATCAATCTTTTACGCAGCTGATTATCGCTTTCAGGTTGACCAACACGAAATTTACAGGCCTCATAGTTGATGGTTCAAAGATATTTTCTGGTAAACCGGAGTTTCGCTGATAATTTTGCTCCTAGTAGTCGTGATCAACACGCCCTTTTTGATAAAGATCAAATTGCCTATTTCATTAAAAACAGCTAGGTTTCTTTTATCGTCCCCACCCGAAGAAAATCTAGATTCAATGTTTCTCGGAAATAAGCACACGCATTTGAACATTTGGTTAATAAAAGGATTATAAAGACCTTAATACTATAGGTTCCGTTAACCGCTGGTGAAAAATAAATAAAACGTCCAATATTTGATTCCTGACCGGAGTCGTTAAGTGGTGAATATGAATGACAGGGCCATTAAAATCTACCGAAAAAAAAATTGAAGTCGGAAAGGTTAATCGTATTTACAATAATAATAAAAAATCAAAGTTATGTAGAAGCAATATCAGAAATGACATAATCTTTTATGTCACCACCTAGAAGTCCTTTGGTTTTCATATGAACATTCCAACACCAGACCATTTTGCCAGTAATAATATCTGGTTTCTTGTGAAGAATTGCATTAAAATGAGTTTTACTCGTATTTTCAGTCTCTCTAAAGTGTCCGTGTTGTCTTCCCTTTTTGTCAAGACCAATCTTAAACAGAGTTGTGTTTTGATGAACAAACCGGCCTGAAATATTAAAAGAAAAAATAATAAAAAAAAAAGATACGTCATAAATATTTTTTCATTTCCTCTGTAGTTCAGGCACATTTTTATTCACAAGGTAAAAAGTGTAACTGATTTTGAATAGTTAATATCGTCAATGACATCATCGAACGTTTTACCTATCCTTCGCTGTCGGCTGTCTAAAATTTTTAATATGGTGTTCATTTAGATGTACAGGATGCATAAATACACTGCCACGTCCAGTAACAATATGGATGCTACATCCGATGCAATATTAAAGGGACATATAAGAATTTTTTTTTAAAACTTTTTGAAGTGTTCATAGGTGGACTGTTGAAAAACAAAAGAAAATACCATAAGGCCATTTAATTTGAAAATAAAGTCGAATTATGAATTCAATGAATAATAACATCGTTAAAATCCTCACAAGATATAAGTCCGTCAGATATCAGTTTGTACATTTTTTCTCGCCTATATTTTCTGCAATCTTTGAACATATTAACATGTACAAAGGGTAACTTTGAGAAGACTTGTTGAATATTTTGAAGCCAACTACAATTATATTTGGCAAGCATATTAAATTAAATGTATCGTAAATCTGTCTTTTCAGGACTGCTCTAGACCAGATTTGAGGTTGTCTGCTTTTGAACATACCTGAGTGCAACAAATATCTGTTGTTCAATTTTTTAAAGGCACATCAGAATATATATGTTCAAATAAAATTTGAATGCAGTATGTTAACTCGAAAAACAAAGTCATTTTAAAATATGCCTTCAATTTGTACAAAGCTGTCCTGATCCCAAGCACAATTAAGAGTGATGCAGACCATATCAATAATTAACATTGGCATGTCTTGAACATACGGGGCGGGTTTGTCAGAGTTAATATTTTTGCAGGACCCTTTTATTTTTTGTGTTCACTTTATCCCGAATAAACTTCAGTAATATACCTGCAAAAAAGTAAATGTTTTGGTAGTCTTGCACACGTTAGTAGGACCAAACGCAAGTTCTGCTTTTAAGATTATCTTGATTAATGTAAAATTACCTAAGATACCTCCAGCCTTATCTGATATTCCTTTTTCGTTGTCGATGTACATGTTCAGGTAGCTAACAACACGTTCAGAACCTTCTTTCATAAGTCGACGAATTTCAATACTAATGTCATTTCCAAAATCTATGTGTACTGTTCTATCATTTAGTACATTGTCATTTGCGTGGATTTTAATTCCTTCCATTTCAAAGACACTTGCGTCATCCCAGGATAATACATGTCCATTAAATTTAATTTCGTCTGGTTTTATATCAATTCGTGCAGCCGGTGCCAGTATAACAATTTCTCCAATAAATGTTTTAAACTCTCCATCTTTCTTCTTCATTGTTGATCTGACAATGCCAGCATAAATGGTTATATCTGTTTACAAAATGAATACAATGAGAAATAAAGGACAGAAAGCAAAAGGATTTTTTTTGCGTGTAAATCAAAGGTCAAATAATGTGTCAACCAAAAAACATAATGATGTGTCAACTTCGAAACCAAATGTTGTGTCGACCAAGAAACCAAATGATGTGTCAAACAAGAAAACAAATGATGTGTCGACCACGAAACGGAATGATGTGTCGACCAATGAACCAAGTGATTTGTCGAATAAAAAACTAAATGGTATGTCGACCAAGAAACTAAGCCTCCATACATGTCCAAGACATACCAAGATGTACACTCATATCATAACCAGATGTAGATTTTGATAACGACACCAATGACAAAACCTGATGTTGATATCGTCGATATCGACAATGTCGATTCGATATCGACTCGATATCGATGATGATTTAAGATAATGAATAAAAATAAGACATAACAAGCTGATTAAATTAAGTCCTAAGATTGCTATAGGGGTAGATGATGGCTGAATTGTAATCTATTTATTTTTTTAAAAGACAATCAAGTGGTCACTTCTCCCAAGTAATGTAGCCTTTAAAACACATTTATGTATTTTTCAAAAAAAAAAAACAATTTTTTTTCGGGAGCTCTTTGATTTAGTGGTTGTCGTCCGTTGCTGTCGGTCATATTTGATTATTGTTTATCATTTATACATAAATTAAGATGTTTGTTTTTCAATTTGAAATATTTGACATTTTGTCATGCCGGTATTATTGTTAATCTTTGTTGTAAAGACTGTAAGGTGACGTATAGTTGTTAACATTCTCATTCTTTTTGTGTTTGGTGGTTTGTTGTCTCATTGCAAAATCGTGCATCATCCCCTTATCTTAATGTGTAATTATGTATACTAAACTAAACGAAATAAATAGAGAAACAAATTATGAAGAAAAAGATTAAATGTTGATATGGAATTGATATCATCGACATATTTAAACAGACAAACCAGGAGAAACTAAATTGTCTTTAAAGATAATTGTAGCAGATAAACATTTGTAACATGTGTCGATATCGACTCGATGTCGTCGATATTGTCGATATCGACATCTTAAAACAGACGAACCAGGAAAAACTAAATTGCCTATACAGATAACTGTATGAGATGAACATTTGTAACATATTTTTTCGATATCGACACGATGTCGTCGATATCGTTGATATCATCTTGAAGAAACTATGATTGTTTTAATACATAACTGTAAAACAGATAGACATTTGGAACATAATGTGTCGATATCGACTCGATATCGTCGATATCGCCGATATCGACATCGAAAAATAGACGAACCAGGAGAAACTAAATTGTCTATATAGATCATCGTAGTAGATAATCATTTGAAACATAATGCGTCGATATCGACATCTTTATTAGACGAACCAAGAGAAACTAAATTGTTTATATAGAAAAAGGTAGCAGACATTTGGATCATTATTTGTCGATATCGAGACTACATTGTGTCTTGGAAACTAAATGATGTGTCGAACAAGAAACCAATTGGGGTGTCGACCAAGAAACTAAATGATGTGTCGACCATGAAACCAACAGATGTGTCTATCTTTATAGGCAGACAGAAGACTAAAGTTACATACTTTACCCCTGCAATTTTCGTTTCTCTTATTTTTGCTTACCTCCATCCACCATTCTACCATCTATAAATACTTATATAATATATTCCTCAGAAATTGACGTATGTGTGCATTGAGAATCAGTGTAATATGATTGTTGATTTGTTTATCCTGCACTTTTTTTTTTAATAAAACACTATAAGCAAATGGCAATGCAAACCTGCGATTGGATCTTTCAACATTCTGATAACATCTCCGTCACGTGCATCGACATCAAAGCATAGCGGAAATTCAATACCATAAATCCTCAACATAAAATGTGGATCTCCTCCACCTGAAAATAAAGTTTGAGATAAAGTAGAAACATCCAGGAATCTAACTGGCCATGGATACACATACTAAATCAAATTACTTGCGTACATTTAAGAATACTGCAATTAAGAGTCTTTAAGCCAGATTCGCTCGGTTTAACCGACCAAATTGAATGCACTTAAACATTGATTAAAAGAAAGATAATAGTTCAGGTTTAGTAACTTTGAACTGATTTAAAGATTCACATTGGACAGAAAAAGACTTCAAAGCTTAATATGTTTTACTTGTTTAAGATTCAAAGTTTGATTCAGATCTTGAGCGCAATTATACCAATTAATATTGAAATAGAAGCCACAAGGTACAATTAAAGACACAGTTAGGTCTACTTTACAACTTGCATTACACCTGGAAATTGACAATTAATGTCGCTAAAAAATCTTAACTTTATGATAAGCAAAATACTTCAACATTCCCTCAACAAACTTCCTATATTTATTCAGAAACATTTAAAAGGAACACCTATGTGTCTGAGTTAATACAATAATCCAAAGTTTCTGATTTATCCAAAGTTTCATGAAAAAGGTTTGTTGCCTACTACAAAGCTAGTTGTCTTCAGGCATGACATATATATATTCTGGGCGACAGTAATACTGTTAATAATTGTTAACTAATTCACATCACGTGCTGCCTTTAACTGTTTGTATTTTGGTTTATTTTATTCCCGTGAACCTCAGATTACATTTACTGCTTCTGATTTAAATTCAATCTATACTTAATTCAATGTCATGTTAAAATAATAATATCTCTGTTCCAAACGAGGGGGCAAACTGTTTAATTTATGTCTGTCCGTCCGTCCGTACGTCTGTCCGTCCCATTAAATTTTCGTCGCATTTTCCCCTATAAACTAAAAATAATGGCTTTATGAAATTATTTACAAAGATTCATGTCAGCATGCTCTACCAAGTGATGCAATTTCAGATACATCTCTCATCAACTTCCTGTTTATCTAATATTTATATATTATTGTAACACATACTGGCTATGTATGAAAGATTCGTCACTTCTAAATAACTAAAAATAAGAGCCTCCTGAAATGTGCTATCATGTTTCATGTGAACATGCTTTACCGTGTACTGCGATTTTCTTCAACTTCCTGTTTACCGAATACTTAAAGCGTGGGGTATCATTAGTGAGCAATAGCTCACACTTCTACTTATTTTTATCTCAAAGTGAATCTTTTGTGTTATTGAAAAACCTTTGAAGAGTACCTCAAATCTCCTTTATCTATAACAAATTAATTTAGAATTATAGTAGATATTGCAACTTGCTCCTTGAATAAGATCAAATGCTATCCACCATCAAAATAAGATGGAACATTCTCCATTAAAAAAATTGTAATGAATCTACGTTTCAAAACATTGGTAGTTATTGTTTGTGATAAAAATTAGAAATGACGGAAAAAAATAATTCAATTGTTAAAAGGGCTAACTGATAGAAATTATAAAGAATTACTTTAAAGAGTTAAATTATTTTGCCGCCTCGAACCAAAACTGCCTATTAGTTTCAGAACCATGGTAGCTTTACGTATACATACTTTCAACTTTTCCATTTCAATTGTAATAATGCAGGCAAACATTAACACTTTTTGCAAAACTATTTATCGATTCACGTAAAAGCTAGAAATGTTCCGAATGACATAAAATATTTAGTATGTAAGCAATGGTAATATACCTTCTAGTTCAAATTATACAAACCTCCTCCTCCTCGACTATAACTATTGCTTCCACCTACGCCTCCGCCCCCTCCTCGTTTCGGACTACTCCCTGGCGAAGAGCTGGTTTGTTTCGTATTACCTAACGTAGAGCTGGTTTGTTTCTTACCAGATATCTTACTAAGAGCAACTGTTTTAAACAAAAAGAATGAAAATTTGAATATTTATGTGATAAAAATAACTTAAAGTGGTTTCCATTCTATAGATTATATATCTTTGTTATGGTTATTGTTATACTGTTGTTTGAATGGTTAGAAAAAGTATGGTGTTTGATTTAAGTTATAAAATATCTATTAGGTCCTGTTATATTTATTTGCGTGTCAGGACTTGGGACGATTTTGGTCTTGGCATGTTATTTAATATATATGATGTAAATGGGCCCTAAAAGAGAGCATTTTATTTTGAGGTCGTATTTCAAAGAACACTTAAGTAATGGAAACATATATGAGGGTCTGAACGGATGATCCTTCATTTCTGTATTCTTTAATTTTTAGGGCATTTTCTTTATAATTCTTTAATTGTTTGCCATTATTTTATATCCTTTATATCTCAGCACCCCAAATATTCTGTAGATCTATCCTTCATTTTTTTTAAATTATTTTTCTCTATTCTCTACGAAAGCCTATTAGGGTCACAAAAAATATTTTTATCTCGTAATTACGAGAAAACTATCGCGTAATTACGAGATAATAAGTTTTTTATCTCGTAATTACACGATAATTATCGCGTAATTACGAGATAACTATCGCGTAATTACGAGATAAATATCGCGTAATTACGAGATAATTATCGCGTAATTACGAGAAAACTATCGCGTAATTACGAGATAATAAGTTTTTTATCTCGTAATTACGCGATAATTATCGCGTAATTACGAGATAACTATCGCGTAATTACGAGATAACTATCGCGTAATTACGAGATAACTATCGCGTCATTACGAGATAAATATCGCGTAATTACGAGAAAACTATCTCGTAATTACGAGATAAAAAATCATTTGGCCAAGTAGATTAAGAGGAAAAAGATTTTTGTAAAAGATTCAAAAAATTTACTTAATTGCAGAAATGACTTTAAAGGGCAATAACTCCTTAAGGGGTCAATTGACAATTTGGTCATTTGACTTATTTGTAGATCTTACTTGGCTAAACATTTTTGCTCCTTAAGTTTATATCTTTCTATTATAATATTCAAGATAATAACCAAAAACTGAAAAATAATCATTAAAATTACCAATTCAGGGGCAGCATCCCAACAACGGGAAGTCTGATTCGTCTGAAAATTTTTGCCCTGTCATATTTGCTCTAAATGCTTTAGTTTCAGAGATATAAACCATAAACTACATTTTACCCCCCCCCCCCCATGTTCGATTTTTAGCCATGGTGGCTATCTTGGTTGGTGGGCGGGGTCTTTGGATACATTTTTTAAACTAGAAACCCTAAGGATGATTAAGGCCAAGTTTGGTTCAATTTGGCCAAGTGGTTTCAGAGGAGAAGATTTTTGTAAAAGTTAACGGACGACGACGGACGACGGACGCCATGTGATGGAAAAAGATCACTTGACCCTTTGGGTCAGTTGAGCTTATAAAAACGGGCGTTTTATCAGGTGCCCCGGAAGGGTTATCATGATCTGTATATCTATATATATATGTAATTTTATCTCGTAATTACGAGATAGTTTTCTCGTAATTACGAGATAGTTTTCTCGTCACTACGAGATAATTTTCTCGTAATTACGCGATAGTTATCTCGTAATTACGCGATAATTATCTCGTAATTACGCTATAATTATCTCGTAATTACGAGATAAAAAATGATTATCTCGTAATTACGCGATAGTTTTCTCGTAATTACGAGAAATTTATCTCGAAATTACGAGATAAATAATTTTTTTTTTGTGTGACCCTAATAGGCTTTCGTAATTCTCTTTCTTTTTACCCTTTATTTTGTAACTTTTACCCATTATTCTCTATTCTGTAAACCTCATCCAGACCCTCATATATATAAAAACAAGGATCAACATACGTCTTGCATCTTCATTTTCTTCTAAATTGGCGAAATCTCGATCATCTGGCATTAAAACAATCATAGAGGTCAATGGTGTGACAAACTTGTACTGAAAAAGTCGGCAGTTATCAAAACTTTGTATGATTAAAATATTAATTTTGTTAACGTTGGTAATGCTCTATTTTTATGGATCAATAATAATCCAACCAGTTGAATAATATTTTTTGATCGTAATCACGGAGATTATACGGTGACATTAAATTCCCTGCATTTCAAAAATTTTATCTGTAGCTTTTGCGTCCGTTTCAACGTTCACCACATTGCAGATTCGTCATAGTCTGTTCAAAAGTAGAAAAACTGTACTCTTATATTAATGAAAGACTCGTTTTAGCTTTCTTAATAATAAAACTAGAAGCCCTAAATAGCCTGTGTCGCTTACCTAGGTATATGTACATCTTCAACAATGGACACACTCTAACGCTGTGGACAAGAATACAATTCATGACACAAATTATTATTTTTTGTTGATCTTGTATTGCTGATTTTTTTTCTGTTTACAGTTTCTCTTTATCTTCTCCGTTTCGCCCAAAACACAAAAAAGAGCAATAAATTTTGGCAAAATTTGACTTTTCAAAATCTGATTATTCGTAGAACTTGTCTTGCTTACCATATTTGCTATTTAAAATGTCTATCTATCTTTTATAGCTTTTAAGATAACTGACAAAGACGCAACAAATTGATAAATATCGTCTTCAAAGAGCAGAAACTGCAATAAGAATCGACTAACAATTTCGGTCATTTGACTTATTTGTTGATCTTGTCTTGCTGGTATTTTTCACTATTTAAAGTGTTTATCCATCTATTGTAGTTTTAAGGATGATAGGCAAATAGTTATCAAAGGTACCAGGATTATGATTTAATAAAACTGAAAACGGAAATTAAAAAGAACTATAACCCCAACAAGGAGTCGATTGGCGATATCTACCATTAGACGTGTTTGTAGATCTTGTCTTACTAGTCATTTTTGTGTATTAGAATTTCTAATTATCTATAATAGTTTAAAGGATGTATTCTTCTGACGTTTCAGTCTCGTTGAAATCTCGTTCTGGAATTTTTTCAAAAACATGTGATACAAGTGGAAAATATCAATGAATTTAAAAAATATTATAATCAAACTTAACTCTGTGAAAAAATTGTGTATTTACAATAAGTAGTTTTTGAGTAATAAAAATTCAAATTTTATAACCAATCAAGTCAGTCTCATTAGCCAAAATGTTGAGAAAATGTGTGAGGGGTACACGAAATGATTTTACCAGATACATGTACATCCCATATAATTTTTTTCTTTTAAAATTTCTTAGATATGTATTTTTTCAATCATTTATAACAATGAAGTTGAAATAATATGCTTTTTGTTCTAAAAAAAAGAGAAAAATCCAAAATTTACAAAATTGACAACATGGTAAATTTGACACGAAAAAGCAACAAAGTTTTATAAAACTTTCTTATATTAACACTTACCCATAGTTTTTTTTAAGTTAAATCTATTCAGATTGGTCCACTTCATCTTTAGTGAAAGTATTTGAAAAATTTTAATTGTGAAACTGTGACTTTTTTCATAATAATAGCCCAAAAATGGATAAAAATGGGGTGCTTTCAAATGTCCGTCGCAAAAAAAAGCAGTGCACCACCGTTTGATCTTTTCTTCACCAATTATCTTTTTACAGTCATATAAACCCAAAAATCAGGCTAAGAAAAAAAGTTTAATTCTAGACATTTTTGGCTCCTCTGAGCTGTACATCCTTAATGAAAAAATGCAAACATGAACAAAATTGGTAAAATTCGTCATTGAAGGGCAATAACTCTTGTACGAAATAATCTGACAGTTTTCAAGTATATTAACAGTACGTATATCCTAACAGTTCTGCCCTTTAAGATTTTCTCTATTCATAGCGGTTTTCAAGATAATAGACCAAACTTGTATTTTAACCTTATGTTCTATTTCTAAACTTTTCGGCCATGATGAGTGGCAGGCGGGATCACTGGTCACATTATTTAGACAAGATACCCAAATGAAGTTGGTGGCCTAGTTTGGTTATGTTTAGCCTAGTATTTCAATAAGAGAAATTTTTGTAAAAGTTAAAGGTCAACAACGACGGACGACGACGGACAACAACATACGCTCAATGATGAAAAAAGCTTATTCGGTTCTCCGGGCCAGGTGAGCTAAAAAATACATAAAAACCTCTTCTAGCTAATAGATGTAAAACACTCACGGTAAGTTAAGTGTCCGGTCGAGATCGTGTTTTTTTCGAGTGAATTGGTCTACTATTTTTTTTAGTGTAGATAAGGTTTTTGGAGTGATATTACATGCGATCAGATCGCTTGTATAATAGTTTTATTCGTGACTGTTCATCTTATTCTGAATACTATACATATTTTGAACACAAACTACGCACAGCTTCCTTCAATTTCACTAAAAATTCAGCGTTTTAGATTGTCCGTGTCTTTTCGAGAGCAACATTTAAAAAGTCTAGGTTGTTAAAGAAAATGTGAATAAGAAAGAAGGCATTCTTGTCATTTGAAACTGCTTTTTTTTCTAGTTTATATAACTGTAATTTAGTGAAGACAAATAAAATATATTCCGAATAAGTCACAAAATCAGAGATTACAATGTTGATCATTAACCATTTTCGATTAAATGCTAATTTTCCCTCCTGAACACATTTTGTAAAGATATGTAAGAAATCACTTGGTCCTTTTAAAAACGGTCTTACCGTCTAGAACCGATTACATGGGACTCATAATCTTTTCAATTTCATTTCATACTATTTTTGTTTTTACAATCAGTAATATTTCATGATTCATATATATTAAAGTGGCGAAAAAACATAGGAGCAAGAAAACTAAAAAAATATATAATAACAAAAAACAACAACAACAAAAATAAATTTTGCCTTGCAACAGGCCACCTACGGATCCCTCAAAGAGTTGTTGCAAGGGTTCTTAACGTGAGCGTGGCACTTTCTTTTCACGCCCCATTCTGACCTGTCTTGACTGCGTACTTGTACATCATGTCTAGCTAAACGAACGTCCAACTTTGGCAAGGGTTTTTCTGTCGGTCGGAAGAGGACCTAGATGACATTTCTATTTCCCAGTCCCCTTTGGAGGTAAACAATTTTAGAGAGATTTTTCTGCCTTGTATCTGATGGGTTAAGACCTTTTCAACTGATTTTTAAGTTTCTTCATATGTTTTACTGTTACACCACTGTCCCAGGTTAGGGGAGGGTTAGATGCCCGATAATATGTTTAACCCAGCCACATTTTGTATGTGCCTGTTCCAAGTCAGGTGCATGTAATTCAGTGGTTGTCTTTTGTTGCTGTAAATCGTATTTGTTTTTTGTTCGTTGTAGGTTTTTTTTTAAATCAGGCTGTTGTTTTCTTGTTTTCTTGTTTTACATATGTCTTTTCGAAGGCTTTTATAGCTGTCTATGTGGTTTGGGTTTTGTTCATTGTTGAAAACCGTACGATGGCATATTTGGGGTCTGGTGGAGAGATGTCTGATTGGCAATTATACAACATCTTTTTATTTTTATATTTGTTATAAATCATGTTAGTAGTGAAGTACTGACTACTGGGCTTATGGTAAAGTCGGGGATTTATCCAATGTATTAAATAAACAACGAAATAATTAATCTGTAAGTTTTATACAATCCTTTTGAAATAAAAAAACGAAATATGTATACGATATGCGTATACATCACAAATATGCATTGTCAATTATTTTTTTTCTTTTAATTTCTGATGAAAAGTCAGCTAAGATTTTTCTTTATTTCTATGTGACCAAGCATAACATACGCTCGAACAGAAATATCTTCACAGTAAGACAGTTGATCATTGTTTTTGTTTTCTATTTCTAGAACGATAACGAATGTGTATGGAGATCTCAATCAACACGAGATTTTTTACTGTATGAAATCCATATCGGTACACTTACATAAAGATTTCTGCATACAAATGAACGATGCATTTTTATTAAATATACGTGTTAATACAGCATTATCAAACTTGTGTCATGCATTATTTCGTGCTTTGAAAAGTACTTTATTTAACTCTTTTCATTGTTTGTAAACGTAATTGCACTGACATACTGTTGCCTTTATATTCTACATTTTTAGCCATAGGAATTATTTTGTTTCACTCGATAAATAATAAATTACCTTCTATGATCTTGCATATAACGTTCTAGCATCTTGTTTTACGTTTTACCAGAAAGGAATTCTGTTTGTTTACATTTTTGATAATTTTCACTCGAAAGATCGTGGTCACACTCGAAAAAACCAGATCAAATCACTCGATTAAACACGATCCCAGCCGCACACTATACCTACTCTGACACTGTACTGTACTCTTCTACCAGTATTTTGCAAACACTGCGTACATTCACATGTTATGTATATATGTATAAGGGGAAAGGTGGTCGGTAAGTGAAAATAGGAAAGTGTATATTATTTCATTCATCTAATAATGATTTTTATGCAAAATAAATAAAACATATTATTAGTACACAAATTTCCAATAAAATTTACAGAACGAAAAAGAAAATATGCAGAGGATCATAACATAGTAACATAACTCTATTTCTACAAGTGTATCAAAGAGTAAGTTCACCTTAGAGAGCAGTACCTACGAATCGGCCTTTTATTATTGTTTAAAATGTTTTTATTTTAATATGGTAACAATGAAAACCTTTTCCGTAGGATATTACAAGAGCATACATTTGTATGCACTCTACATGTGTTTAAGCTCAAACCAGGTATTTGAACATTAATACAATGTTTACTATCTAGTGCTATGCCATTTGCTTTTCTTTTACTTTACCAGTGAATTTTACTTCATCTTAGTGATAGATAAAGTTTTATTATGAAATAATCAAAAAATATATTTCATATGTTTTACATTCATCAGCACTTAATCTTTATTTCAGTTTCCCTAATTTCAGAGTCATTTAATGGGCCATATATATATTATCAACACCAATTACCTTTAAAGACATTGCTAGAGCCTTGTTGTTTAACTTCTTCTTTTCAAATTCATTGGTTTCACCGATGGCTTCTTCTAGAAGTTGTTTGATTGTTAAATATGCCCATATTCTTTCGGTGATTTTTTCGAAGTTACCAGCTTTTAACAATTCCGGATCACGACTCTGAATATCCGATTCAAGCTCCAGTTCCACATTTCCATGCACCCCATTACCAGTAACCAATAGTTTCAGCACTTGTATGGTGTCGTCGGATAATTTGCCAGCAATGACTAATTCTTTTCCGTTGAAAAACGCATCAAAGTTCGTTCTGGTTGCATACTCAGTAACATCTGTATTTTTGTCAAGATATTCAAAGGTAACATTTTGTAATGCAGATGATGAAATTTCATCGTAGAAGCCCTTTTTCTGTAGCGATGCACCTGAATCTTCAAAGTTCATTTTGGTTGCATTTTGAGCAGCATATTTAAAGGTAACATTTTGTAATACAGATGATGAAATTTCATCGTAGAAGCCCTTTATCTGTAGCGATGCATCAGAATCTTCAAATATCTTTCTAGCAACGCCTTTATTTTTTACTGCAACCTTCTTTACAAATTCATAATCTGCGTTGTTTCCAAAGGCAAGACTAAAAATAGGCAAACCTCTGATATTTTTCTTGTCGATATTATCAAGAACCGTATCAACGCCTATACTGCCTAGCCCATCAGTAAGAAATACCAGTATTTTCCTTTGATTTCCCGTAGTTTCTTTACTTGGAATAGAATTCAAAAACATTATTCCTGACAAAATGGCATCGTTAATATTTGTCCCTACAGAATAAAGAAAAAGAATACATCTGAGTTCAGTGTACCAAAGATATTTATGATTCACGATTAAGCCACAAAAGGAAACGAATGTTTACGTTTCTTGTTCTATATGCATTACTTTCATAGCAATCAAAACATATACTCTAAACAGGAATACATGTTTTAAATCCGCAAAAAAATATGCAATATCAAAAATGTTAGAATATCTGAGCGCTTTAGTTCACCTCGGTTTAAATGAGGTTCGTGTTGATCATTCTTTATTCCTTTGTAGAATTTTGTGGGCTGTTGTTCGTCTTTTTGTTGTTTTGCTTTGTGGTCATGGTATTGCCTTTTTGGATTGAATTTTTTTTTGTCCCTGGGTATCTTCTCCGTATGTTTTATATTCAACCCAAAGGCAAATTACACCAGTCATATCATCATTTTTTTATACAGATCATGGTGAAAGATTTTTGTTTGGCATCTATTCTTTACATAATTCTTACCTCCACTTGCGATCATTTCTTTGTTAACATATTGAAGTGCTTCCTGTTTGTTTTTGTTGTTTGCCAACAATACTGTTGGCTGCCATAAACGATTGTTATCGTTAAACAGCATTATGTTGAAACGATCACCTTCGGGAAGGTCCTTCAAAATTCTGATCATGGCACTCTTTTGTTGTCTTATTTTAGTGCCACTCATAGACCCACTCACATCTAAGATGAATAAGACGTCTTTTGGTAAGGGTTTCATACCTTCTGGCGCAAAGAAGTGAACAAAGTATCCATCAACAACCTGTAAAAATACGATTTCATAATGTGCTTATTGTGATGCATGTACGAACCCATTTATATTAAAACATATGAAAATAATTTGGCGAATGTAGAATTAGACAAACACATCAAGTGAAATCAAAAGATGAGACCTTGCAATACTTCCTCAAAATGATTTACCTAAATAGTTCAATAGCTTGTTGACAATTTGCCTGTACCATGATTATTGAATCGGATCCAAAGTATATAGGCTAATGTTATGCAACTCATGTAACATAATGGGATACGATCGTCAATTTCATATGCAATAGAGTAGTTCTATTTAACACTCACTCCCCTATCTATTCAAATATTAGCCATATTTATAAAGCGGTTGATGCGGTTAGGCCTTATCGAACATACTCCTTTGTGTTTCTTTAATATGTTTGATATGAATGTGAAAACATCACACTGAGATCTGATAAGATCACATTTTTCATATCCTGCTGTAAACAACAATAAAATTTAAATTTATATTTTTTACCATGACTTCACCAGCATCAAATTTTCTCTGGACATCATACTCAACAACAAACAACCCTGATATTCCCTGGTCAGACATCTGTTTCTGATCATCGGCTGTCGGGGCATAATGAACAGTGGCCGATTTTCTTGTCGGTCGGTCAATGACAGCCAAAGCGTTTTTCTCTTCTGTTCGAAAATAAATATTTTGAACTTAGTTGTTAAAATTTATTCCAAGAGGCTGACCTTTTGCAAAGTGCAGACAGGAGGATTTTCAATCAACGAGAGAAACGAATATGTAATGTTTGAGACAACGCTGCATGAATATTTGTTTTCATCTTTGATGCACAACTTTCATCAACATGTTGTGGGTAGAATATTTATTTTAAATTTGCCTTTTGCAGGTTCATTTATTTGCAGTTGCAATATGTCATGTAAACTTTTTTCACGAAATCCCCTTTTATACTAAATTTCTTGTTTGATTTTGTTTGATTTTTTTAGTTTTGATGGACTTCCCCTTATTTGAATAAATCTTCGAGTTTTTTAAATATTTTTTACTTTTCTTGTTACCTAGTGTTATCACACACTGCCTTGAAATTTACCCGACGTCTTTTATTATTCATATAAGAAAGGCATTAAAAAAAACCTTCATAATTAATGCGTTTCGCTATTAAAAATTGACAAACTTAAATGCACCCTTTTCAGACTATAATAGATATAAGAAGATGTGGTATGAGTGCCAATGAGACAACTCTCCATCCAAGTCCAAATTTATAGAAGTAAACCATTATAGGTCACAGTACGGTCTTCAACACGGATTCTTGGCTCACACCGGACCGTAAGCTGTAAAGGGCCCCAAAAATTACTAGTCTAAAACCATTCAAACGGGAAAAACCAATGCATTGCAACCTTCAATATGAGATCAGTTGCAAAATAATATCAAGATTCCACATTAACTCAACTTGTCCACTACAATTGTATTTTAAAATGTCTTATTATTAGGTCAATTCAAATGCTTTGCAATTACACTTTCACTTATTTAGTTTAACTAATGACTTTAATATTATAAAAACTAACGATTTTTGTTGGAAATAACTATTTACCATTGGTCCCCGAAATAATATCATTTCGCAACCGAGGCACAGAGACTTGTGTAATATTCCTTGACTCATGAATATATACGTCAATCTTGAAGTCCTCCACAATCTGACCTGGGTCTACATATATAATATGTTTATATTCTCCATAGACTCGCTCTAATAATTCTTGGTAAGTAAGGTTAAAGGTCACTTTACTCTCAGCTGCTAAGTTTACATCAACATTAAAACGATTTGTATGCCTTGGTCTACAATGAAATGGAATGTTATTTGTAATATAGGCATGAGTAATATGTCAGCTACAGACATTTTTAAACGATAATATGCCATTATTTCTCTCCGAATATTACCTTAATATCTAATTAACAAATCGGCCATACAATGTTGTGACACTTATAATGACTATTTCACGGTAGGTATAGTGTCCGGCTTAGATAGTGGAGATCATTTTTTTTATTGAATCGATCCACTTTTTTCAAGTAATATTACATGCGATCACATCGATTTACTGCTATATAATAGCATGTGTAGTAGTTTTATTCATGACTGTTAATCTTATTCTTCATACATACATATTTTTAGCACAAACTACTCACAATTTCCTTGAATATCACTGATAATTCAGCGTTTTACATTGTCCGTGTATTTTTGAGAGCAACATTTAAAACGTCCAGGTTTTTAAACAAACGGTCCGGGTTATTAAAGAAAATATAAATAACAAAGAAGGCATTCTTGGCATTTAAAACTGATTTGTTTCTGGTGGATAACTGTAATTTAGTGAAGAACAATATAATATGTTCCCAATAAGTCAGAAAAACATATTACAATGTTGATCAAATTTAACAATTTTTAAATTAAATGCTAATTTTCTGTACTGAAAACCTTGCAGTATTACGATCTATAAGAAATCACTGGGTTCGTTTTTAAACGGTCCTTAGAACAGAGTACAAGGGAATCAAAATCTTTTCACTTTTCAATTTCATTTCATTTGTCCTAATGGCTTTTCTGGTTTTACCTTCATGCGGAACGCTCAAAGCCGAATATTTGAAAGCCAAGGATGCAAAAGAACCGAAACATTTGAAGAGTTATATGACCAAAAGGACCTAAATAGCATAGCCAAATCTATCTAAGGTCATCTTTGCTTGATAGAGTTGAAACGCTGGTTTCTTTATGATATTAAAGTTATTAAACGGACAATGTTAAATGATTGATAGTTTGTTGCTTAACGTCCAGTTGCAAAATTTAATGCATGTTCAGAACGAGAACAAATTAACAATCAATCCGAAAAGTAGTTCCTGTAACAGATGACGTTCGGAATGAAGGTGAGAAATTTAGACTGCCACTGAAAATGAGGATATTTCGATCATTTGACTTATTTGTAGATCTTGGGTCCTTTTTAAAACGGTCTTTAGAACCGAATACAGGGGACTCATAATCGTTTCAATTTCATTTTATGCTACCTTTGTTTTTACAGTCAGTAATATTTAATGATTGATATATATTACAGTGGCAAAAAACCATAGGAGCATGAAAACTAAAAAATATATGACCAAAAGGACATAAAAATAGTCCATCTAAGGTCATTTTTGCCTGATGGAGTTGAAACCTTAGTTTCTTTATAATATTTGAATTTATGAACGGACAATTTTAAATGATTGCTTGTTTGGTTGCTTAACGTCCAGTGGCAAATATTTTATGCATGTTCAGGACGAGAACAAACTGACAACAAATTCAATCGGTAGGTCCTGTAACAGAGGACGTTTGGGATGAAGGTCGGGACAGACTGCCACTTAAATATGAGGGTATATTAAGTATGGACAGAAAGTTTGCCTTGCTACAGGTCACCTACGGACCCCTCAAAGAATTTTTTCAAGGGTTCCTAACGTACAGTGAGTGTGGTTCTCTCTCTACGCTTTCAGTTATGACCGGACGTGACAGCATACTTGTACACCCCGTTCAGCCAAACGAACGTCCCACTTTGTCAAGGGTTTTACTGCCTGTCGGAAAAGGACTATGTGACCATATTTCTATTCCCCAGTCTACCTTAGAGGTAAACAATGTTTTAGAAAGGTTTGTTACAAATCATGTCAGTACCGAAGTACAGACTACTGATCTGATGACAAAGTCTGGGACTTATCCAATGTATTTAATAAAAAATAAAATAAATAATCTGTAAGCTTTAATACGATCCTTTTGAAATAAAAAAAAAAGACGAAATGTGTATTTCATATGCATACACCTCACAAATATACATTGTGCATTTTTATTCTTTTAATTTCTGATGGAAAGGAAGCTATGATGGTGATTTATTTCTGTGTGACTAAGCATAACATATGCTTGATGAGACTCCTCTTCACAGTAGGAACATTTGAATATTGTTTTTAATTTGCATTTCTAGAACGATAAAACATGTTACCGTCAAGACGAATAGTACATATAACATTTAGAATGTGTTTTATGTTAAAAACACATATTTACCCGCTTTGCACACTATTTGTACGTACGTCTCAGTCCAACATGTCTGAGCTCACATAAAGATTACTTACATCACGAAATATTTACTGTATGAAATCCATATCGGTACACTTACATGAAGATTTCTAAATACAAATGAACGCGGACATATAAAAATGAATTTATTCTCCAAAATGTCCTTATCAATGCAAAAACAAGACTTTTTGTAAAATGTCTGTATATCTAAGTATATATAGATTCCATGAATGCATTTCCGATGACATTTGCATTGGTAATTGTATAAAAAAAGGCTGTAATCTATGTTTTGGAATAAACATTGTAAGGCTAAATTAAACGTTTTAAAAACAAAACAATGTGCTATCTTTTTATCACAAATACTAAGTTACCTTCTATGATCTTATATATACGGTTCTAGCATCTGTTTTTATGTCTTACCAGAAAGGAAGTCTGTTTGTTTACATTTTTGATCATATTCCCTCGAAAAAACGTAGTCAAACTCGAAAAAACCTGAAAAAACACAATCCAAGCCGGACACTATACCTACCGTGTATTTGGTAGGAATTTACATGATTTCAAATATTTCAGTAAATATTTATTAACAAAACAATCTGCGATTCTCTATAATTCTTATTTTTTTATCCATAAACTAGTTTTATAATTTTAGCAAATAAATAATTTAAAAATGAAGTATTTTTGCTTGAAAATATCTAACCGACATGAAAATTAATTAGTTTAAATTATACAAGATTAGGATTAAATTGTTGGATCCAAACTGGTCGTTTTTATTCCAAACATTGCAATATCTAATAACTTTTCTATATTATTTTGTTCATGTAATTACTTTTGTGCCACATGTCCAGCACTTTGGCCCCTGTTCTTTGCTGTATCATATTTCTCTTTTGCTTTTGCTTTCTCAATAATTTTTCCGGGATACATCAGTCCATCAATTTCCCTGAAAAAATTACAGTGACATCTATAAACATTTTAATATAATTATAGTTTATTTGAGATTAGAAGAAAACATAGATATGACATTTATATAGTCTGAGTTACTTTTGTTGATTTATTTTCGTTTTTATCCGTTGCAGCCTGCAAGTACCATTCTCTGTATTCGTGAATATCCGCTGGTGGATCGGTTTTGCGACATTCTCATGAAATATTTGGAATTTACATGTATAACAAGATTGTTAGGTTATGTCAACATTTCCCAATGATATAATGTTCGAGGAAAAAAATGCATCTGAACCTAAAACCGAGTACAAAGTTGAAGAACCGAAATGGACGAAAAGTATTTCAAAACCCGAGAAAAAAATTAGCTATGCATGGGATTCCTTTCTTTATTTTGAATTGTTTCGTACGTTTACCCCTGGCAGTCTGCCAATAGTTTATTTGCCAATTACCGATTTGATTCCTTTATTACTCACTTTTAACCCAAATTATTTCTCCTTGCAAATTGTAGACTGGTTCTTTACACGACAAAATGGGACTCTGCCCATGCAAAGCACGTCAACATGAACATGATACTGAGGCGTAATATCTAATTTTTAGTGAAAAAAAAACTATTTTAGCTTAACAGAAAATTAAATGTATTGATTAAAAGATTTTTAAAAACTTGAGGGTTACACACATAACGCACAGATACATTAGCTCTTTATGTTAATTGAAATTTATTGAGGGATTCAATAAAAAAAATATCCTTAATTAAGGAATTGGCAAATATACTATTGCATAAAACAATATACATGCAATCCAGTACGTAGCCCCTGGTTGGGTTTCTCATCGATATTTAAAGTAACAATGTGCCTTTCTGAGTCAGTTATACAAACAACGAAAATCATGAACAGAAAAAGTGAGGCGAATAATACCAAAGGGACATTCAAACTCATAAATCGATTACAAACTGACAATGCCATGGCTAAAAAAAAGAGAATCAAACAATAGTACACAAAACAACATAGAAAACCAACGATTGGGCAACACATACCCCACCAACAACTGGGGGTGATCTCAGGTGCTCCGGGATTGAGCAACACATACACCACCAACAACTGGGGGTGATCTCAGGTGCTCCGGGAGGGTAAGCAGATCCTGCTCCACATATGGCACATTCGGGGGAAAGGGGACGAGATTGAAGTTACGACAATTGGAACATATTCGTCGTCATCTGTTAAACAGATATTCCATAACGGTCAACCAACTCGTGATGGCGTCCGTAAAATTTACAAAGAAATGATTTCAACTTCACCACTTGGAACTCTTGGTTTAAAAGCTTCCTTGTGAGCAGCAACCCTTTATTAAGGAAATCATGATAGGAAACACAAGCCCGGGAATATCGTATCAACTGGGAGATATATACACCGTATGCAGGCACTGCTGGAATGTTGCTACATAGAACTAGAAATTTCACAATAAAGAAGCTGAAATCATCTCTTTTGTCGTAAAGTTTTGTTTTCAACCGACCCTCATTGTCAATTTCTAAATGTAAGTCAAGATATGAGGCAGACTTAACTGTATATGTTGTATCCTTCATCTCAAGTTCGATGGGATAGATGCGTTCAACATAGTCACCAAATTTTGAATTATTTAGTGAGAGACCATCATCTATATAACGGAAATGGAAGTTAAAGGATACCGCTAACTTCTTTTCTTTATTCCTAAGAAGTTCCTGTGTGAAGTCAGCCTCATATGCATAAAGGAACAAGTCGGCAAGAATAGTAGTACAGTTGGTTTCCATGGGAATGCCGATTGTTTGTTGAAAAACACGTCCTCCAAA